AATTGAACCCTGAAACAACCTTTGGGCCGATCTGAGATTAGGGCACGACTAACTCACAGATTATCGGATTAAAAAATAATTTAGGGGTGTAAAACGAGAAAACTCGCGAATAAAGAGACGTTTTGCTTAACAAACAAATAAAAGTGAAATTAGACTTAAATGTATGGCCATTCCAATTCAAGATTTTAGTTAAAAAAAACTCCGTACAAAGTGTCTTTGTTCCTAATGTAAACACTACGCAGTGCAAGGTGTCGATGGCCCGCCCCAGCACCATCACGATCAGGAAGCACTCGTACATAAGTGACTGATAATCCTGCTCTAAATCACTAAAACACGAGCCAACCCTCCTACTAAATATACTTCCTGATTTAGCAAAAGAATCGAACGATATCCAAGCTATGATTTATGAATTTTGTTCTCTATAAATATCAAATATAATTTCCGAATCTTCACTCGGTGGTTGATATAAATCCTTGACCACGATCAGGTACAATCTGGAGCCTTTGTCGTACCTGGAAGCGAAATACTCGTGGAAAATCTAGACATTTTTTCAATTCCTTGGAGTTTGCGTTTCGTTTAGGAATTTCTTAATTTTGAAGTCATGTTTTGGATTGGTATTACGCTGGCTGTTTTCACCATCGTCGTCCCTGTATATTCTACTCCCTGTGGTAAGTAGTATCTCATCTCGTTGAGTGTTTTTATCAAATTTTGCCCCTAAGTTATACCTGATTATAGTCAATTATTATTATTTGCTTCAAATTATTGTGAAATTTTTATAACTCAGCCTTTCGCAATCTTTAGTAACCGTAAATTTCCTATCATTTTTCGATTGGAATTATCAAGATTTATACAATTTCTTTTTCATTTTCCCCCATAGATATTCCCCAATTATTACAAGGAAATATTGTCAAGGTAAACCATTAACGTTGCTCCCATTTTCTTAGAAAAGTTTTTAAATACTGATTATTGCAGGACATTGGGTTAAAAAAAGTTTCGTCTTCTAGTTACTCTAATATGAGTACCACGTACACATTCCCTGGAGTATTTTTTTTCTTTCTTCACCAGTAACGTTCAAGAAAAATATCAGATTAGACAAAGATTTTTATAGCCCTGATTTGTATTTCTACCGCAGTTTCCGCTGAATACGATACCTAACCAGGTAGACTACTACCACTAAGTATTTATATTCTAATTATGAGTTTGCGTTTCACCTGACAATAATCTAAGATCCGGACCGTTTTCATTTGTCATTGATACGTTAAATTCAGTACAGTTGATGTACGTAATTAAAAATATCTGACAATTTGAGGATTATTTAAGCTTTTTTTTCAGTTGTGAAAGTTTCAGCTTTTATTTTTATTTTTTGTGACTCCATTTTCTTAATGGATTGAAATTTATTAAAAAAATATCCCTAAGCACTAGCAAATGAGGCCCAAGTTTACTCCAGTGTAGCGTCAACCGGAGGATCACTCTACACTTTCCACCCTTTACAGCCATTCTCAATCATACGCGCCGCTCTAGCGATTGTTTCTGTCGCGACAAAGAAGCTTTTGGTGGACGTCAATCAAGGCGTTTCCATTAGAACTGAATCCTTAGATATAAATGTTGTTCAATAAGTGTTGTTGATTTATTGATTATTAGATAACTCATGTCGCTGGTGACGTCACCAGACCATCCGTCGAAAGATCCAGTTTTTCGTACGATGCATTAGGTCAGCGGTATTACGCAAACGTTCAACTGGACGATGGGACTTCGTACCAGTTCATCAAACTCTACAAAGAGGTAGGTCACGTGATTCTTGTTGGCAATGGTAACATTTCAACTGCTCCTAGTAGTCATTTTGCTCCATCCATCCGTCCGTCCGTCCGTCCATTCATTCCACATCCATCCAATTAAGAGTAGTTTTTCGTTTCATCTCAGAAAAAAGTGTTCAARATTCTTTCTGACGGAACGTGTCAAATATTTCGTACACGCTCAACCGACACCTTTCCCTTGCTGAAGATTCCAACATCAAAGTTCGAAGTGCGTCTGTCCAGTGCGCCTGAACTAAATGTGTATAGCGGAAGCACGCACAAAGGTTTGTTTCAAAATATATTTATTTTCTTGTCGCCGTGTTCCTGTCATAAATTTAACAATTATTACAAAGTGATTTTTCATTTTTCATCCATTTTTCATTTTTTCATTTWTTTTCATTTTTTCATTTTTTTTCTTTCCATTTTTCATTCAGGTCAATTTGTTGTCTCAACATTAGGGAACAGATGTCTTCCATTGGCCTGGACAGAATATCTACCTCTTGGACCCAGGTTTCTCGTCAAAGAACAGTAAGTGAAATCCGTGGAAGACTATGACGAGCACTAGAACGAGGCTAACTTAGGGTCCTTTTATCAATATGACGCGTATGACGTCAAACCAATTTCATTAAAATATTTGTATCCCATTTGGCTTGTAATCCTTTCTTTTGTATCTTACTTTTTTCCTCGGTTTCTTTCTTTTCTTTTCTTTTTTTTTTATATGTATATATCTTTTTCATTATTATTATACATTTTACTAAGTATCTCAATTCTGATTGGTCGAGAGCCCTCAGCCAATCCCTGATATCGTGTGAACTCAACATGATAAATGTATTATCTGTAGGTTTTCCTACAGATAATACATTTATCATGTCAAGTTCATTCAAGGTCAGCCTGTGGTAGCTTTGTTTTTATTCATTATGTGTATTTATTTCCAGAATTATGTACAAAAACAAATATTTAAGCAACCCTTAACTTATTTTCATATATTTTATGAAGAATTCTTAATATATTTTTGAATTAAAAATATTGCGTTTTTCACGCGACATCATGGCGTTCATATTTCATGTCTCTATAATTTAATGTTTATGTTAATGTTTTTCCAGTATACAAAATGTATAATAAAGCAATTATTGAATTCGGTATCGCATAATATCGTAAATATCAAGACCTTGGCTGTGTTATCTGCGTCAGCCTTCGGCTTCGACAGATAACACAGTCTCGGTCTTGATAATTTACAAGTATCATGCTCAACCTCATCCAATAATTGCTTATCTCCCATTTGTTTGTTCGTTCGTTTTTGTTTTTGYTTTTGTTTTTTTGGTTTGTTTGTTTTTGTTTTGTTTTTGTTTGTTTGTTTGTTTGCTCCTTTAATTATTTATTTACTTAATGAGATTCTTGTTTTTGTGGGTTTTCAGGCATTTTTCTGGAATAGATGAACAAGTCGACTTCAACAAATTCAATCCACCTTCAACCTGTGTTAAGCCAAGGTTTCTCGTTCCATGGTAGTGGCATCGTCTAAGATTCCAACGCTTAAATTGTGGACTGAATCTCTAGGAGCTGTTAATATTTAACTCAATTGTATAAAATGTATTTTATTTGGTAATTTAATCTCTATTATATGGCGAAAGGAAAATTGAATGAATAAAAAATACCTTATGAAAAATAAAGGATTTTAAAATAATAATTTTCTTACGCATGTCAAAAAGATAATCTTGACTTTACTTTTTACGACTGATTTGTTTAGTTCTTAAACGAGTAGCCGTGTTTTCGTCGTGTCCTAGTCGGTTTTTAGTCGTGACCTTGTCGTAAATATGTCGTGTTTGATCGTGACCTAATAGGGTTGAGTAGGATTTAAATCGTGGTCATGATGCGATTCGTGTCATATTCTATTCTTAAAGCATTGTTCAACTGCGTTTTCATCTCACTTCTCTCTTTACTGAGTTTTGCAATTGATCGTGTCTTATCGTCGTAGTCTAATCGTACTTTAGTCGTATCATGGTCGGGAACGCTTCGTAATCAAGTCGTATCAATATTGACTATATATCATAGCTTGCGTACAACCCTCCCACTACCCAAAGCATCGCTACGCAGGCTAAGATATCAAAGACATGTTAATGACTGGTACGAATTTCCCATCAACCAAACTAGATGAGTTGAGTTGAGTTGAGTTGAGTTTTTTGTGTTGCTCTCTCCTTCGGTACAAAGGTTTTTCTCCGGGTTCTCCGGATTTCCTTCGTCCGTAAAAACAGGGAGGTTTTACCCACCGTGGTAAAAATCAACACGAGTTGAGCGTTKTGTTCATCAAAAACATTGAAAGTAGCGGTAGTTTGTGTGTGTGTGAGTGAAAAAGTGTCCCACATTAGTGCAAAAGCGTTGAGCAACTAAACATAGCTCAGTCAAATATAAAGAGTCATTTATAAAATGAATAACAAATTAATAAACAAAGAAAAGATCATTTCGTTGTATCTAAAACCTGCACGGAAATGCGCGCACAGGATCGAGAATTGCTTTTTTGTGTGTTTCTTTTTCTGGACCAAATTTTCTTGAAGAGAACAGTGTTGTGTTGTGTTGTCAATGTCGGACGACATCAAAATCGTTTTTTTTTTTTTTTTT